AATATATATATATATATATATATATATATTTTTTTTTTTAGAATATTTTAAAATTATACAAGTTTGAAAATGCATCAAATTGCACTCTAATAAATACTATGAAATTACCTAATGGAATGTTTTTGATTGACATACGAACTCGAATTGACAAATCTGTGATAAATATGCTACTGATTATCATGAATTCAGATCAAATTTACAGTATAGAATCATGGGAGTTAAAAATTGAAGAAATTTTTCCTGGTTACTTATTTTATTTCTCATTTAATTCTTTCAAAATTATTTCTCATTTCATATTTATTTTATTTTATTTTCAGAACATTTGATTAAAAAAAGCGATACTTTATCGAAACATTTGACCGAATTAGTTGAAATGTTGCAACAAAGAAAACCTTTTTTAGAAAAAGCTACAACCTTATGGTCTCTTTTATTCTCTGCACATGAAGATTTAACAATATCAAAACTTTTAATCTTGCAAGATTTAATATTAGATTCAGGAACTGTGAAAAACATTAATGTTTTCATAAATGAAGATATTATAATGCCTCGAGAATTAGAACAATGCATGGGAATTTAATCCATGAAATTGATAATGTTTTAATGTCTAAAATTTTAATGTGGAATAAAATAAATAGAAATATCATTATTGATGGAGATGCATTTATTGAAGAATTGCAGATTAATAAACTGATTGCAGATTTTTTTAATGATGTTGATATTTATTCGAATGATATTACAGATTCAAGTAAAATGCAAAAATTTTCAATTTCGTTGCAGAAAGAAGATATGATTATAAATGATCTTAAAGTAGAATCTATTTGTGGAATTCCATTCCGATGTAAGAGTTGATAATAATAATTACTTTAAAAGTATGAAAATACTATTAAGAAACAAATCTTTATTTTAGATTGGTCTCTAGCTAATGATATATTAAAATTAGAAATAAATTTAGCATCAGATAAAATTGAATTTTCAAATGATACTATATATTTAAATTCGAATATATCGTTAATAAATTTAAATATGAAAATGTTAAATGGCACGAATGTCAACGAACTTTTTGATAAATTATTTATCATTAATCACAATCAGAAAATTAAAGGTAAATTTCATAAAATCATATTAAATTATTAACTTAATAATAATATTTAAATTTAAATTAAATTTTTTAGGAATATTATTTATAATAATATGTTAAAAATCCAGAATCTTACAATACAAATGTTGAATGAAAAGTCATGGAATAAATATATGAATACAATAACCAATCAAACTTTTGATAATTTTATGGTAAAAAAATTTAGAGCGGAAAATTTGTTTGCGGATTCAATAAATGATACTCCAGTTTCAAAAGCAGCGCGAATATCTATTGAAAATATAATCAAAGGTATTTAAAATAAGATTAATTTAATTTTTAAAAGTTTTATATTATAGTTATAATATTATAACTATTCATATTTGCATGAAAAATTTTATGTTTCATAGGAGATGTAAAAATTGCAAAATTACATGTAACAAAGAAATTTGTAATTGATTCAAAATTCAAAATATCGGATATTCCATATCAAATATATTCTAATGTTTCCATTCAAGGTAACGTGAAGATAAAAACTTTAGAATTGGACAATTACATGCAAATCTTTCTAAACAATGAAAAAATAAATCTTAATAATATTCTCAATGTTTTTTGGACAAAATCAAGTAATCAAGTAATCAAAAATGATATCATTTTTGAAAATAGTTTAACTATAGATTACTTAAACACAAAGTACTTGAATGGGTTTTCTGAGGAAGAATTTTTGTACACTACTGTATCAATCATTCCAGAAAATTTTAAAAAATTACACTTTGAAAATATTTACGTAGATGATATGTTTTTCGTTGAAGAAAAAAATGATAATTTTTTCGAAATTGCTCCAGAATCTATAATAATTCGAGAAAAATTATATGTAAAACATATACACGGAAACGAATTATTCATTGATGTTTTTAATGATGTTCCTATTGTCAATATTTTAAACCAAAAACAGCCTCATATTTTTCTGCAAAACATGACTTTCTCTAAGATTAAAACTAAACAAATATTTGTAAATGAACTTAATTTTCTCTTCTTTAGTGATAAAAATAATACTTCTTTTTACGAAATGGCAAATATCAGAAAATTAAACTTATGAATGTTCCAAAATTTTGTTTAAAAAATCTCAATATTGAAAAAATTAATAATCTCGAAGTAAAAAAACTTGGATCATTAAAAAATATAAAGTTGTCTGATTTAAAAGATTTAGTAATACATGGTGATTTAATTGTTAAAAATTTAATATTATTTACTTAAACGATATTGCTAAAAAAAATATCGTATTCAATATTATCAATAAAATTGAATTCCAAAAATTAACTGTAGAGAATATCACGTTGAAATCCCTGCATGATCTTGATGTAAATAGTTTTTTTAAAGATTTTCTCTCAAAATCAACAGAACAAAATATAACTATAAAATTCATTTTTTATAAAGTTACGGTTAATAATATCAAAACTAAAATTATTAATTATCAAAATATCTCTAATTTGATATGGATTGATAAACCTTTATTGCTAGAGAACATCAAATTCGACAATTTAATTGTAGAAGGAGATATTGTAACAAAAACTTTAAACAATTTTGTTTTTAATGAGGTAAACTTTAATTAAAATATAAAATGATAATATTGACTTTTAGTTATTAAATTGAAAAAAATTTTATTTCAGTTATATTCAAACTTGATCAATGTGTCAATATCAAAAATCACTAATTTAAAAATACACGGAAATATTTCTTGGGATATTTTTTCAACAAATTCCACTTCTTTGACATTCTTACTCAAAAATGCAGTAACCAAAACAACGAATCAAATTATTCAAAGCAATATAATTTTTCAAAAGAATATATCAGCATCAACAATTAAAGCACAATCTAAAGAAATCGATAAAATACATAATATTATTGTAGATGCTGTGATAGATGATGAGAAAAATATTGAAATAATTGGTCAAAAAATTTTTAAAGAGAATCTAAATATTGATACTATATCAGTAATCAATGATATTGATATTCCTATGATTAACAATATTAATATTCTCGAATTTAATAATTCCGTGGTAAGAAAAGATCGAGAAACAATAATAACTGGAATTATAACTTTTCTCGATGATGTTGCGATTGATCAAATTCTTGTCAATGATAATGTTCATAACATCCTCCTGAAGGATGTGATTCTGGTAACTGATGTATTACCAAACCACATATTTTTCAAAAATCTTGTTATATTAAAAAATGTACGTTTGAAGAATTTTGATAAAGTAGATTTTGATGAATTTTTAAAGAATCATGTAACTATTGACAAAGAAAATGAAATATTTTTTGATGTATATTTCAATGATATTATAGAAATAACAGGTATGTATACAATTATAAGTAAATCATATTCAAAATTAAAAATTATATTAATTCGTTAAATAAAACTTTAAAACTGCAAGCATGAGAATTATTTTAACAAAATCTATAATATTTATATATGATAATATTTATAATTTATAATATATTTATATATATATTATAAATTATATGAATCATTCAATTTAAAATTTTATGTATACACATTTACATACATATTCACTAATAATTCAATATAATATGATTAAAAAATTTTAGAGAATGCAAATGCATCAACACTCAATGATATTTATCTCTCCGATTTGGTTCTAAATGAAAGTAAGGAAACGCAAATAATATCTGATTCAAAGATCTTTGAAGAAAATTTCATAATAAATGGCAATATTTATACACCATTTATTAATGGGATGAATATATCATTAGAATATTGTAGCGGTGTGCAAAATGATGAAGACGTTAAAATCATCGGAGATTTGGTAAAATTGTTTGATTCAGATAATTTACATGTATATATTTTATAATGTATTTAAAAATTGCATATTTGTAGATTTTTGAATCAAAAATTAAAGTTCCAGAAAATATATCCGTTTTCAACTTAATAAACGAAGTAAATTTATATACTATTCTTTATAATCTACAAGAACAGACACATCAAATCTATCGCGTGTTTGTACTAAATGAAATTAGAATGAAGGAGAGCATGGTTCAATCTTCCTTAATTTCTAAAACTCTCACGAACATTTTTTCATATTTAGAAATAGAACAAAAGTTAAGAATTCAAACACCTAATATTAAGAAGATTGATGTTATTTATTATGAACAGATTACAAAACTGAATATGTTTGGAGAAGAAGCAGGATATTTTTGCGGACTTCCAGATAATTGTTCTTGTCCAATTGAATATATGGCTGAACTTACCAAAAAAACTTGTCAAATTCGAAAAATAAATAATAATAAAATAATAAGAAATTATCAATATTTGTATAATATATATGGTATAAACATAGAATCAAATGCAATATCATATAGCCGTGAATGTACATTGAATAATACCGAAAATGAATTCATTACAATTTTATGGATTAAACCTAACATAATTGATACTGGAGATATATTAGCTAATATAAAAGAAACGTCTTTAAAAATTCGAGGTTTTATAAAAGATGCAAAATTTTTCATGACACATGATAGTATGATATTAAATATTAATAAAATTATTTAATTTTAAGTTAATTAATAAATTAAAATAAATTAATTAATAATTTTTAGTTTTTTAACATTTTCTAATTTTTAATTTTTTTATTTATTTTAGATGCTACTTTTCTTGTACTAGCAGTATATTATGATACGATACTTGCAACACATCAGACAAATTCTCTAATTTACAAAATTGATTTCAAGAACAATACATTATTTTTGTATCAGAATCTATCTACTGATGGAGCTTCGACTGTTGAAATTTTTAAAAGAAATCACGATGTATATCTTCTATTTGGTTGTTTTGGAAACTCCGAAAAATCATCTTTATATAAATTAGATGCTTTTACTTCCAAAGTAAACGCTTTATTATTAATTATTTTATAAAAATATTTTAAATAATGATAGATTTATTTTTTTAGTTTATAATAATTAGAACCTTCGAAGGTAAAACACGCAATGTAAAAAGTTTAATTCAAGAACAAGATTGTTTTGTTTTTTTAGACGATTTCGAGACAAATGCAATAAATATTTTTTATTATAATTCAAAATTTGATAATTTTTACAATTATCAAACTCTCTTCTATAATTCACAAGTTTATGGAATAGAATCTTTTTATATGAACGGTATGAACAATATATTATGATAAAATAATAATTATATTTAACATTTTTTATTCTATTTATTATTTTAGAATTTGGTCAAACCAATTCCTTTATCATTGTCACAACAGAAAATGATGGATTTTATATTTATGAATATATGCATGCACAAGTAAGATTATATTGATTCATTAATTAAATTAATCTATATAATTTAATCTATATAGTTTTTTTCATAAAATTATTTTTAGAAATTCCAATTGAAGATACATCACCACATAGATGACTTACAAATTATGATACCTTTCTATCATTTAGAAAATTATTATATCTTTATGGGTACAAGCACAAATAGCACTATATTACGAATCATAAAACAAGGTCCCTAAAAAATTTTATAAGAATCTTATTATAGTTATAATATATAAGTTTATTTACATATTATGTATAAATTAATATATGGTAGAATTAATACATACATATTAATAACTAAAATATATGTAATATATATTTACAATATAAATTTCATGTATTGAATAATTAATATATTTGTTAGACAATCGAACTTTATTACTTTATATGAAATATATATCTTGGTTGGAACATCTATAAGACTTATGTCTAAAAAAGCAGATTTAGTATTAATCGAATTGCGCCAGCGCAATTCCAACGAAAGCATTGAACTTTAATTTTTACAAAAAGAGACTTAAGACAAAATCAAATGGCATAAAAATCATTACGTGAGGATATAAGCAATTAAATGGTGTAGTTGCAAATATTTTCAGAACGATATATAATAATATTCTACGACGAATTCTGTAGTCAACGCAATACGAAGTGTAAAGGTTTTTCTCTTTCGTGAAGTAGAAGCCATTGTAACACATTGAAGTTACTTCTTGTTGCTGTGTAACACTACTCTTAAAGTTTTAAGGTATATTCAAGTGCAGAAAGTGTTCTTTTAATTTCAAAAAGATTAAAAACGTTTTAAATTAATTTTTTAAAATGAAACTGTCAGGGTATCATTTCATTGTTATTGGACAACTTTTATTCGTCTCTAATTAACTGCAAGCAATTCATAACTTGCATATAAGTGTATGTAATTTAACTTATTTAATATGATTATAATAGATAAAATATTCTCATCAATTTAAAGAGATTGAAATATAATCAAAATATAATTAAATTTAATTGCGTCTTCTTTTATCCGGCATGTCTTTTTTGGTTATGTCAAAACGATGAATTGGCATAATAAAACATGTACCAATTTATTAACATAATGTTGGTAATATTGATACAGTTGATCTTTTTAAAACAATCATTAATTTTCGCTTTAATTAAAACATTTTATTCTATTCTTCCAAATAATGAGAATACTATTTTGAGGTTATGACACGTATTAGGAATTTTCCATTACTAAATAATATTAAGTATATTTATTTATATATTATTATAATACCACGTAATTATATTCTATAATTATAATTAATTTTATTATATCATATAAAACAGTTCCTTCAAGGCAGTAATGGCTGTCAAGGGGCTAATAGCAGCAATTGTTCAATTTTTAACTCAACAATTAGAAGAAGGTGATATTACAGCAGATTCTCGGGAAAGTCTTGAAGTAGCAATACAATGTTTAGAAAGTGCTTATAATGTACAAGCATCAGATACTCCAACAAATTTTAACTTATACGAAGTTTATAAGTCTTCCGTAGAAAATGCAAAACCTTATTTAGCTCCAGAAGCTACCCCAGAAGCAAAAGCTGAAGCTGAAAGATTAAAAAATGAAGGAAATGCTCTCATGAAGGCTGAAAAACATCATGAAGCTCTTGCCAATTATACGAAGTACATATTTTGATCTATTTATTTATTATTATATATTAGTTGAAGTAAAAAAAATATATTTTTATAAAAATTTATATATTTGTAAAATTATAACATTATTATTTTTTTAGAGCAATTCAATTAGATGGTCGTAATGCAGTGTACTATTGTAACCGTGCTGCAGCATATAGTAAAATTGGCAATTATCAACAAGCAATTAACGATTGTCATACTGCATTATCCATTGATCCCTCGTATAGTAAAGCATATGGACGTTTAGGTTTAGCATATTCCAGCTTGCAAAGACATAAAGAGGCTAAGGAAAGCTATCAAAAAGCTTTAGAAATGGAACCTGACAATGAAAGTTATAAAAATAATCTACAAGTAGCAGAAGAAAAATTAGCTCAGCCAAGCATGAGTAATATGGGATTAGGTGGAAGTGCATTACCAGGCATGGATCTTAGTTCACTCTTGAGTAATCCTGCTCTTATGAACATGGCTCGTCAAATGTTATCCAATCCAGCTCTACAAAATATGGTGAGCAATTTTATGAGTGGACAAGTCGAACAGGGAGGACATATGGATGCTCTTATAGAAGCGTAAGAATTAATTATTCTTATATTTATATATATAACATCATAAAAAAATATATTATATAAAAATATATTGTATTTAAAAACTTTTTAGTGGTCAACATTTTGCACGACAATTACAAAATGCTAATCCTGAATTAATTGAATCTTTAAGACGACAAATGGGAGGAAATCCAAATGATCCAGATCCACCTCAACAAAATTAAAAATTGATTATGATACGTTTTAATGATTTTACATGAAATGGAAATAATCAAATTTAATTGGAACATATACATTATTAAAAAGCAGTGTGTATCATTTTCTAATATGAAAAAGTGAAAAATTGTAATTAAAATTCACTT